TTTGGCTGAGGGAGGTTGATAAGCTGAAAGAGTGTGTTGTCAAGAGTATTTATCCCAAGCACCGCCACGAGTGTAACCGGCAAAAGAGTGCAACTTCCCAAGCGAGGAACCCGCCTCGCCCAGTTGGGACACAGTGTGTCATTGCATTCTGGCCCTCGTTCTCGTGAAGCAGACCATTTTTAAATGGTGCGGTACCGGTACTGGACACGTGTGGTCAGGGTGGAGTGGTGGTTTCTTCCTTATGATATAATGTCCGTCTTCGATCATATTTCATCTAATAACTGGGCATGATTCAAAACATCGAACTTCCACAAGGGCAGCACGCCACCCATCTTGGAGGTGCCAGCTCTTGTGTCACGGAAACAGTTTATGTGCAACATTTTGACACGAACACCACAGCTCAAAGACAGCCGCTTGAAATACAACGGTCTTCTGAGATGCAACAATGTATATCCAGCACGCACAGTCGGTCCATATCCGCCTTGAGCAGAATCGGTTGAAAAGAGCTATGTTGGTCGGGAGTATTTATGTTGCTGGTCGCGACGCACTCGTAACGCAGGCATTTCATAGTCATTTGTGAACGAGCGAAGTGCAGTTCCGACCAAAGGAGCCGCCGTTGTTAGGAAAATTGCACCCTCTTTTGTTCCAACTCGGGGCTCATAGCAGTTTCCATCGTGTTTAAGTAGGGCGTATAGAATCAGCTCATAATATTGAGTAGTATCGCAGCGAGAAGGAAAGAGGTTCATTGCCTTCTGACATTTCACAGATTACTTCTCCAGCAATGACATTTTGTGAAGTTTGGGTAACACCTACTGAACACGTATTTTAGTGACGGGTTTTGTCCTGACACCGACGTATATTCATAAACTAATACTACTTATATGAGACGAAAGAGGGCCTGATGTAAAAATACTTGTGTAACTCATCGGATCAAAATAACTTCTTTGATATGAAGGAAGTGATCTTTCCAGCTGTTCCCCCTGTTGAAATGCCATTGCATAAACTTCAGTACCAGATTGCTTCCTTTAACGTTAGCCTTTCGCTTTTTGTTAATCTTTATGGCTATAGAGGAGGCAAAAATAAAACGTCTAAGTACACTATTTCAAGACATAGCTCGGGAAACTAAACTTTTTTTTCCCCAAGTTTTTTTTCCTTTCGGCCAACATGCCCCCTGCACTTAACAAAAAGCCAAATTTAGCCGCCTTGAAAAAAGTTCGCGCCTGCTTCAAAAGCGCCTGGAATCTTATCGTTTAAACAGATAGCAACCGGCCGAACAAGTACAGGCTAACCCACATAATCCACTTAATGATGTTCTCCATTCCTTGCCCATTTCAGCCGAGAGATACCGGGGAGAGAGCACTTACCAGCGCGCCTGGCAAAATACACAAGCGTCGGGCCGCAATCTAGAGTGGCTTTGCCTGATCCCCTTACCGTGTTCTGTTCAATCCCTTTTCCGAGAGCCGAGCCGCCCTCTACCGGGCTAGATTGAATTAAGCTTCGACCCACGGGCACCAGGGACAGGCGCGGCATCGGAGGCTGTTTCCACAAAATATTACCGACAAGATAAACCGCTCCGTGAGGCGTATCGGGTGTTATGTTAATCTGAGATTACAGAACATATTGCCGGAACGGATGTCACTGGGGTGGGTTTTCCAATTTTTTTTTATCATCTGATACCAGGCGACTGGATGAATTTATGGTATGTGGTTTTGGACATCATCTGGAGCAGATAATATGCGGTTTTAATCACTGTCTGAAGAGCGTTTGCCATGCAGGGTTGAGCACGGCCGCTTTACCACGAAACCCTCCATTCACCAAATGGCTTCTCAAGTTACTGCTAAAAATAGCATTTGAATAAAAATGTTGCCAAACAGATAACTTGACGTTTAAGGTACAATATGACATTGTGGAAACAATTCAAAACTCTCTTTTGAGCAAAAAGAGTATTGTTCACGCGGTTGTGAGAACTGGAGTTCGACAGTGGTACTTCGCTGTTGCCGCGTTACTATATCATTAACGGAAATGTTAATCGCACAGCATTGTGGGTAGCACTCCCATAGTGATACACTGAACGCATGTCGTCCGCACGCAGACTCATGTGAATGCGCGTGGATGAACAGATTCTATCCATTGAGACGTCGAAGAAATTACAGGAGGCGGGTGCGACAGGTAATCACGATAACCGAAATCATGCAGGTATCCTTGCATTATGGTTTGAGGTTAATTGAAATCTTGGGGACTACTAAAATAAATATTGAAAATGTTGAAATATTGGTCCGCCGGGATGCCAAAATAGTTCTATAACATGGATAGATGCATATTGATCAACATAGCGGAAGGATAAAGAGAACTGCAGTGAAGTGGAACAAATCAGAGTGAGTGAAACTAGGTCTATTATGTCTCCTGAGCGCTTCGAGTTACTGTGACACTGATTTCGAAGAGCAGATGTTTTGCCGTTTTGTAGATGATGGCATTCACATATGCATGACATTGCTCACTCTTTATAGCGACATGGCAGCGTTAATGAGCTACATCCTTTCGCTGCTAACCTGATACAGTCTGTTGACTTTATTTCAAGTTCACTTTCAAGTTGTCCTTGTATTCTATTAAGAGGAAATACACAGAGAAGACTTGTAAAACCCCGAACAAATACCGAGTAACGAGGAAGTAAACACGTCAAGTGAAGACAATTTTATTTTATGACCGCCTAAAAAGTACAATTTTTAAAGCAGACATATCCAATACATATATCTGTAATTTTTTTAATCGAAGACAACACGGGTACCCCGTGGGCGCTGTTTCAAATATATTCATGGTATTATATTTATTATACGATGAATATTCAAATTTACATTAGCACACAGCAGGGGTGTTCTACATCTTAGCTTGATAAAAGCCTTTCTTAAATGTCACTTCTTCTGTGACTTCAGCACCAAAGCTGCACCGCACGGTTTAACAAATAACCACCGAAATTTTATCTCCAAAGCATACCTCGGACAAACCAACTTTTGCTCTTGACATATATAATTCACTCGTGGCTGCGCGCGTATTGCGGAGTGCGTGCGGACATTTCATATTTTAGCTCTGTGTAGCAGGATGAATCATGCCGGTGCGGGGTGTACAGTCACCCCTTTAGTGTCACTTAAGTTATTTCCGTCGGAGAGCCCCGAAATAGCAGGCCGAGGGTCTCTTGAGGCTTGGGTTCCCCTTCTGTGCTTCCTCTTCACAGGTATCACAAACCCAATGGCCAATGTTATCGTTCAGCTCAAACGAGGAAGCAGAGCCTCTTCTTACCAACAGCAGTTGAATAGACGTGGTTCACAACTGTACTGCTGTAAATTATTGCCACTCGCTCTGCCATGAGCCCGCCAATATCCTGCTCAGGAGATTCTGTCTCAATGTCAGGGTCTCTGACATTCATTTCTTTCTGATCAGATATTTCAGGAACACAAGCATTGTTTTTCTTAAATTATGTGAAGTGGCGTGTCCCGGTTTTGGAGCCGTGGGAGGAAACTGATTTCCCCCAAAAAACTCCCACTCGAAAAATTTGCACCATTAACAGTTTCAACTGTTTTCGAAAAAACGGGCGATGCTCTTTTAAAATGCTTATGCCTCTGACCTTCATTGTTTAATATTACTTTACTATTTCTTTCGACGAAAAGTGAATGAGTTGAATCAATTATTTTTGAAATAAATTTCATTCAAATTATCGGTCTAAAGCCGTCTTTCACGGGATGCGCCCATTCCTACCTTTATTGACAGAATATCAAATGACCGATTTAAGTTCTCATTGTTTGTAGTAACTCAGAACACGGAATAAGGTCACCGGGAAGATCAGTGTTTAGTGAGCACGCTTACCCTTGAAGAGCATGCAATTTAGTTCTCAATGCAGCTTTAGTCAATCTCCCCTTTCGACTTGATTTTCAAGTGAAGTTTTGGCATTTGAAGACACGGCCTTTTAATTGTTATGCTAATTCGAATTTTCGTATTTTACGAGCAAAATTGTGCTGTGGTCCAAGGCAGAAACCCGTTGTGCCGTCACAGTAAGTGCGCCCGCATTCGTCAGAAAAAGCGTTGAAAATTTTGATTTTAAAGAGGATAATTTTTCAGAGGATAAAAAGTTCCATGAAACATGGTCCCATGAAAAATTCATATCATGGCCCCCTTTAAAAAAAGTTGTCAAAGAGTGGGAGGAAAAAAAATATTGGACAAGCTCTACCAAATCAAAGTGTAGTCCTTAATTCAGAAAAATTATTTCGGCCAATGGTTACTAAACTTCTATTTCATTTGGGTAAAAAAAAATAATTTCCTCCGAACATGCATCTCAGCAATTTCCTTAGCATAACCCAACAGTTAAGAATTATGCGAAAAGTCGGGTAAAACATTAATAAATCTGGACATTTTGTCCCACCACCTTTCCCTGTGCGTTTGAGAGGAAAACAGCCTCTTTTGCAATGTAGATTAGTCCGAGTCTCAAGGAGCTTCTGCCCGTGACCTGACCCTCTTCCTGTCTCATGTGTGTGTACAAAATAAACGTCCCTTATAGTGATTGACTCCAATCGATACTTTGCATTTCCTTCATCCAGAAATAGCCCTCAGCATTGGATAAAAAACTGTGATAGTGATGCATATTTCATGAGTAATCGTCTTTAAACGGAGGCCGGTGAGTCCTTTCCTCGCGTCTTCCATACTGTAACAAGGCTCCACCTGCCCTTGAATGACGAAAATGAACATTTTCTTTACTGAAATTGTTTTGTCCTATTTTCAAAGGTTGCATTCCCAGTAACACATTTGCCTTTTCTATTTGCTGCATGCATGTTTGTATATATTGTATATATATACGTGAACTTATTTCAACGCTATAGCAGAACGAATGAAATTTAAATTGCTAAAGAGCTGCCAGTATCAAATCAAGCATTTAATGTATCCATTTGGGTAAAAAAAAAAATCCCCTTGGGCCATTTAATGGCACGAATGAATGTTATTCTTTAATCTCGCAGGAATCAATTGAAACTCTTTTGAGGTGGAGCTCAGTTGGGTCCGGGACACGATCTGGCAGCACTGGAAAGTAAGCGCGGAGACTCATCGATGACGACAACCAGCCGGCTCGAACCAACCCGGACGCGTGAATGCAGTCCAGTGTGAATGCACCAGATGTCTCGTGCAGGTCCACTGACTCACTAGTCAGCAAAACCAGACTGGGCAATTTGACAAGTCCACCACACAGTCACCGTAACATGCCGAGGGCAGCGCAGGGCAGGTAATTTGTTCTGTTAGCAAGCGGCGGTTGCAGCAGTAGCAAATCGTAGTTGCAGTCGTCGTTGTCGTCGCTGTCACCGTCGCTGTCACCTTGGCCACCATGGGAATCCCCCCTGTGTTGGCTGAGGTGGTCGTGGTACTACTGGCTGTTTATGACTACGGAGTGCGAGTGCGCGGGGTGAGTGCGGGGCCTGTGGAGAGCGTTCGGCTGACGGGCGATGTGGTTCTCGGTGGTCTCTTTCCAGTCCACGAGGGTGGTATCAACGGGTGCGGGCCTTTCGACCTCGGGGGTTACCAGAGACTGGAGGCCATGGTGTACGCCCTGGACTCGATCAACAACGACGACGACCTACTACCGGGCATCACGATCGGTGCCTATATACTGGATACGTGTAGCCGCGACACCTATGCACTGGAGCAAACCATGGAGTTTGTCACCTCCACCATCGCGAGGATAGACCTGAATGCTTTCACCTGCCCTAACGGGAGCAAGCCGGAGTACCAGCCCCCACAACCCACTATTGGCGTAGTGGGGGCAGCAAGTAGTCCAGTGTCCACCATGGTAGCTAACATTCTGCGCCTGTTCAAGGTGAGTCTCCAGAAACACGGGATATTCTTGTTCATCGAGCACCCTTGCCTCCAATACATGCTTCAGAAGACGTATTCATTACACTTGCCATTTGGAATCTTAAACGGCAATATATTTTAGCCCTACAATTGCATTAATTGAGATAACTGAATGTTTTGTATCGCTATAGTTTCCATTGTTTGTCATAATAGTAGTGGTTCTGTGTGAATTTGTAGTATTGGCAAAACATTTAATGAAACAAACTAAAAGACAGGATATGACAGGACTATGTTTTGACAGAGTTGAAAAACTTACAAATGTGAATTACGAAAACTTGTAAAAAAGTGCTATCCGCCAATCACGTGTTATCACAGTCATGACGAAAGAACTGCAAAGTACGTTCATCTTTAACCAGTAGGGAAAAGACTTAGCAAACTGCTCTCCGCCAAACGTCACCGACGGTTCAAGGGTCTTCTTGCGTCCATCTTTCTTAATAAAATCCAGAAATTTGCTCAGTTTATAACATCATTGCCGGTAGATGAAAAAAAAAATCTTCAAGCACAGTCACACACTGAAACACAAAGCTAGATATTGCAATAGAAAATTTATACTGAGAAAAGATATTAAATATGCCCCCCCAAAAATGGACAGCATGAGAGTGGCCCTCGATAACCCAATGGTTCAACGGTATTAATGTGGCGCTTGCCTTTCTGTCTTTCACGCGAACATCAGGATAGTATTTTCGCTAATGCACCCACCCTGATAATGGTCTATAAAGCTCTTCAAGACTCGGGGGAAGAGTGATTGTTTCCCTGTGCATCTTCGGCTCATCCATCAAGTTCGCGATTCAAACGAGCATGATTTCTTCAGGTACAGTAATTCTAGACGGTCCGGGGGCCTAAGATTGAAATCACCGCTTTTCATTATCTGACTCACGTTGGTACATTCAGTAAGTGCTTTATTAGCATAATGCTGGTGACGTGAGTTTCAACCTCAGAGTAGTTTTCCGTGTCGAGCATTTGCGGACAGAAATTCTGGAGACTTTGTTTTGCGTTGCACTTTGTTCGACAAACAAGGCAACGCATTGGTCTTTAATGTCTGCTTTAAACTCACGTATGTCATTTACTTTCTACGTTTAGGCCTATATCCTTAAACTGAAAATAACTGATTTCCTTGTGGCATGCCATAACATTTCTATTTTGGCAACGTCAGAAGTATTTCGCTTTCCCTATTCCACAGTCACGACTCTAAAGGTCTCCCCGTCTGGAGATACTGAATAGCTCTGCCCTCTAACTCGGCTAGGATTGTTTCTCGTTTCCCTATTTGGGTGCAACGAAGCGTGGAGTTCCCGAGCTTTTTATTGCTCAACGAAGTCGGCCAAGCGCTGTCGAGCGTGACCCATGCAATACCATAGAAACATTATCGAATTGCCTGGGCGAACGGAGAGTAGGGGGTTCCTCAAAACACGCATGAGATGTATTGACAGCCAACTAAGTGGACCCTTGTGGAGAGCAACCTATTTAGAATTGAAACCGCCGAGAACAAAAATGAACAGACAACAAAACAACAAAAGCATGGCGGTTGGATTTGTTGGTCTGATACGATGCCAGCTTCAGAGCGTCTGCACAGTGTGGCGCGCTATCCGGCTTTATGACCTTCCTTTTCTTTTATTTCTAAGGGTACCGGGACAATTTCAATTTCTGCCGCACAGGGCTTATCCACTACGAACACAGGGCGAGGGATCCCCTCGTTTTCTGTGTTTTCTCAGAAGGATACAATCTACATTTAGAACTCGCATCTTGGCATGAACAGAAAAAAAACTTTTGAGCTTGTTATAGTTGAGCTCTGAAGACAAATGACACTGCATTCGATTTGGATGCTTCCATATTTATTTGAACAGATAAAATTAGAGAAAACGTGTTTTCCTTAGATGTGCTCTTTAGGGTAAAAAGTTTCTGCCAATGACCCAAGCTTTAAAACAAATGAGACCTGCTTTGCCAGAGTCCATCTTGAGTAATCGGCCTGAAAGTAAATCTTACAGGGAACGATTCAGAGGGAAGTGTCAACGCTTTCAGCCTGATGTTGAAATGTCTACTTGTCACCAGGAGATAGGAAACTGACTTACCAAATGATACATCAGCACGAAGATCTGTTACAAATATATGCAAACTAAAAACAAACAAATACAGGGAAATACTGCCGTAAGACGCACTTCGAGCCGTCACACTGTAAACTGTGACTACTTGAAATTTTCAAATTGTCTGCAGTTCGAATTAACCAAAAATAGCCGTGTTTTTGGAAAAACATCAACTGCAAATCATTGTTCATGGTGAAAAGGCTAAGTGCTTCAACGCGCAAACGCATCACTGCTGATTTACATGTCGGTGTCAAGCACACAGGAGGCTTTTTAATATGTTATTTTTGGAAATAATACGTGTATTCAATTTCAAGGCTATGTGCTGAGTGCATATCCAAGAATAATATATTTATACTTATTACTTTAGCAACAGGAAGTATGGAGGAAAATGTCATCTACACTGTTGGAGGTGGAAATGATGGCTGGCGGAGTTTTAGGCACACCTTCTCTTATTGTGCATTTCTTTTTTGTTTGAAAAATATGTATTTATATCGACTTTCATGGCTGTGAACAGATACGAAACTGAGTTAAAGTAAAAATAGCAAATGTTACCACTGGAGAAGGACGGAGGATACGGGGGAACATTCATATTTTGGAAATTCACAGGTTTTATTGGACTTTTCTACCGACAGCAGTTGAGATTTGTTGCTCAATTTATAATTGATGATTAGGCAAAGGTATTAGTTGAACGAATCTGTGCTGTTTACTGCTCCATCTGGGTTGATAAAAAGAAAGTGAATTAAAGGTGAATGATAGACTCGCCCAAGCACACAAACTAAAGACGGAGAGCAAAGTCGATAAACTATATGTCATCTGGATAACGAAAGCAAATAAATGAAGACAGAACTAATCTATCTGTAACCCATGTAATACAGGCAGCAGACAATGGAGACTGAGTTAGATTTCAGGGAGCACAAGGCAATATACTCTACAAATTTCCAGTCGAATTTGCCCTGTGCTATTTAAAACCACAATCAACCATCAATATTGCGCTTGCCGTGGTTTCGAATCACCGCGACAACATCCGAATGCCTCAACACCAACATCAATTGGAGAGAGAGGAAAAAACGACATTGGCGAGAGAGCACAAATTAAAGTCGAGGAACGGGGCGTTATGAGTGGTAACATATGGTGAGATCAGTTGGATGGTGGGAAAACATATTTTGTGAAAACAATTATAGTCAGGAGATATTCGTTGCATCTGGTGTGCCATTCATACACAAAAGATTGATTACAATGACAAAACGCACCTCCTCTGATTCCCACGATGGATTCTGTAGCCGTTTGGTGTGCAATATTTTTGTTTGTGCCGTTTACTGTTCCTGATGACTGTCGTTTGCTCGTGAAAGACAACCAGTTCTCGTTGTCAAGTAATCGTGTTTTAAACAGGATAAAATAGATTGGAGGATTTTTAAATGTAATAGTTTTCTGAAGGTTATTCCTTTTCAGCGACCATGTATTAAACTGTAAATAGATAAGTCAAGCTATCAGTAGTTCGGCCATGGCGTGCGACTTTTGTCTTTTGGTTCTAAAAAAAGGATGAACCAGCTTTCGGAAGGCTGGAGTGAAATATTAGACAAGTCAAGTTTTAATATCCGGCGTTCTGGACCGGTGGAGGTAGATAATACGACCCATTAGAGTCACTCGGGGTGATTTCGCAAGCCAATACTCTTTAAAACACCCTTTATGGAAGAAGTTATTAATTTAAGAGGGAAACATGGGACGAGCAGAGTTGATGTCGTGGGGAAATGAAATTATTCAAAACCGCTCGGAGGAATTTCTTGGAGACTATAGGGAGACAGGACTAGTTGAGACAATATGCCAGTGCTAACGTGAATACCTCATACATGCATAACGTGTACAAAGCATAGTCCGGCGTGGGTACCACCTTCAATGGCTACGTGCTCAACTAACCTTGACCACTGCATAAAACAATGGTTTGGCCGACTGCCTGATTCCCGCCTCCATGATTATTATTGTTAGAACGACAGTTGAGACAGTACTCGGACAGTACACTAATTCAAGCGATAACTTCTACTGGGCTTATTATCATAAAAAGTGCCCCACAGTTTATTTTGAAAAGATGAGAGTTTTTTAAATGGCAGGATTGTGTAAATATAGGCCAGGATCAACTCCCCGGTTTGGGGGCCTTTCGTCCAAGGGCAGAATCGATCAATTTACACTTCAAAAATTGTCCTAAGTGCCCTTTTGATGTCATTTGAAAAATACCTGCGTGCAGGGTTGGTAAATATCACTTTTTGGGAGGGGGTGTTTTGTGTTAACAATTAAAATGTAATTGGTCAATTCCTCCGAAAATTGAAAAGAAAAGGAAAGATTAAGGACAAGACAATATTTTTTTCTGCGCAACTCCAGTGATGTTGGTTTGTATGTTTAATTTGGGCCCTGAATTTTGATGATTTTACACTGAGTTTTTTAATGGGCGGGGCTTGAACTAGTTCAAGGCTCCCTGTGCGATGTAGACACTACCCGATGTTATTTCAATTGTGCCCCGTGTTCGTTCGATACTGCATGTTCATTCAACAACGCACAGTATTCATCCAACACCAAACAGAGTTATTTCACCTCTAGACTGTATTAATTCAACATTATTCCGTATTTATTCAATACTACAAGACATTATTACCATAATGGATTCATTCAATACCACACGATTTGCAGTGTCGTCACGACACAGCCACGAGTACTGTAACTCGGGTACCAAAAAGAAAAGATGTTTGGCCCGTCTGCAAGCGAGGGAAGCGGAACAGAGGAACGTATTGATCACATTATTTTGGTTTTAGAGATGTCAATGTTGTTTCTCCCTGCATGAATTAAACACAACGGCAATGGAACAATTTTCAACTTTTCAAGTGGGGGCAAGTTA